ACAGTTGAAGTTAAAAAGTTTGATGTAAAAAGATGTTATTTGCACAGCATTCACAGAATGCAGCCCTTTTGTGTTTTATAATTTTTTTTCCATTTGTATTTCTAGAAATGAAGCACTACTTCTATACAGAAATTATACTGTACATTTAATAAAAAAAAAAAAAAGAAATACCCGAAGGAATGAATGTCAAAAGAAATGTTTAAATTATTTCAAACATTAAGTTTGGCCCCCTTTGGTTTATTATTGTTTGTGATGCCCTGAGAATGTGTTTTTTATTATTATTATTAATATTATGAATACTGCTTGTAGTATCATAACCATTATTTTGTGTGGTAACGACAATAATAATCCTTTTGTATGTACTCACTAACTGTAAAACCAGCTGTAGACGTTAGTCTGGCACTGTGGCGAGACGCACATGAACCTGCTCTGTTTTCTGAATTACTTTGTTGCTCTGTGTAATATAAGCTAATATAGAAGCTGTACTGTAGTGAGCTTGCATGGCAAACAAGAACATAATCATATGAAAAAAAAGTCACATTGTTTCCATTATTTGTGCCATGAAGAAGCAGCAATAATATGTTTGTGTTCTCTTTAACACAAAAAAGCATTGTGGGTTTGATCCCGAGTGAACATTTGAGGTACGATGTTTTCGGGGTTGGACAGTGTGTTTTTACCTCTGCGTCACGCCGGCACTGCTGAAATCCAACGTATCAATAAGTCTGTGAAACTAGCAGGGATTGAAAAGCCAATGACAGATGTATCATCTGAAAACATTCCAGTTTTTATCGTCATCAAAAAAGTGAAGAAAAGCGATCCACCGTCAATATCTGAAGGGCTTTTATTTCTGTCGATTTGTTTTTCATTGTGCCTGTAGCAGAGTGGTAAAATTCACAAATGTAAATGTATTCTGTCGGTGTACAGTATGCTTCATCTCACACTTGCCCATCTGACGTGCATGGTTGTTTTACACACCAGGAATTCAGAGCAAAACTCCTCTTCAAAGACGTCTCCTAGGTCCTCCTGGAGATACTTTAGAGATTGGACACATTTTTACTAACTGATTATTTAAAGTGATTTAAATAAAAGTTGTCCAGAAGTTAGTTTAAAAGACAGAAATTATGTTTTTCCTTTAACTACAAACAGTCTGAAGTCAAGAAGAAAACCTCAGGACATCCTTGAGATGGGATTTTGCTATAAATTCCTTCAGTCGAGATTTCAGGAGGGATGTGGCATCAGACGCTCCCTCCCATTTCCTCCAGTCGACCTACACGTGATGCGTTTTAACGCATTAATATATCGTATGTATCTGTAACTGTTTTCTTACTTTGTGAATGCTTTTTCAGTTGTTCCTTCATTGACGAAAATGAGAAAATACAATCAGTAACAAACATTTACACATGAAAATAAAATTTACAAGCTTGCCACACCACTTCTCCCGACTGTTTTATTTTTTAAATGAAATATACTGGGACCAGGATGTCCCCTGCAAACTTGCCCTGAATATTAAATAACTTATGTCCATTTTTAACAAACAAATCCTTAAGATGACTCATTTACCACTTTTAGCATTAAAACCCATCCAGGTTACAGACTGGTTTTGTACTAGGTTAAATTAGAATTTAACCAGCTCTGCAGCCATTTTTCATCAATCTATGCTAATTTTTTAAATTACTTTAATAAGTATTTAATTTGTCTTATTATCACGCAAATATGATTTATAGCGTAAACAGATGCATAGACATAATGTCACTTGTCTCTGATAATTTTTCTTCTTCAACATTATGTGTGATGTTCTCCAATTGCAGGCTGTAGTTCCCATAAAAGTAGTTCTATGCTCTATACATCTACAAATGGATAGCGTAGTAGTAAGACCACACTCCTTTGGAGCAGGAGTTGCAAGTTCGATTCCCACCCGTTCCATTCTATATACAGTAAGGGAATCTTATAACCTTAGACCTATGAAATCTTCAATACCCAACATCCACAGTTGATGGCAAAACAACTAATAGCTCTGTGTTCGTTTGGAAGAAGGGACTGCTCCCACTGCTAGAGACTGACGAGGTACAAAACACATGCTACGGCAAGGGGGAGCCAGGACGCCAGGTCAGGGGGAGAGATCATCACCCCCACCCGAGATTGGGTACCAATTAAACAAAGAATTACATTTGTTGAGCTCAGGCATCAAAGGTACATTTTTTATTTCAAAATGTCAGAGATAATATTAGTGTTTTCTCAAAACATCAAATAGATGCGAGTAAACTAGTAATCTGATTACTGAAAAATCTGACCAACCCTTTATCACAGAAACCTTTTAACCTGATTAGGTGAACTACAAATTAGTAATCAGTGACCTCTAGTGGAAGCTAGAGAACACATATGCTGCACAAATACACTCTTCCTTCCCTTTTTCCTGCAAACTACAAGTCAAACATACCAGTTAAGATAAGTTATATACCGCCCTTTGTTCTAATTTTGTTGAGACGTCTCACACAGTCAACCATTATTGTTTTTAAAACATATTTTAAAAGTACAACAAGTTGTGTCCTCCAAGTTTCACAGCCTATGAGATCCCACAACTCGCATCTATTTGAGAAAACACTAATATTATCACTGACATTTTGAAATAAAAAATGTACCTTTGATGCCTGAGCTCAACAAATGTAATTCGTTGCTTAATTATTTGATTTATACATAACAGCGTTATAACATTAAGTGACATTTAATATAGTTTTCAATATTTTTAAGCTTAAATTGTCCTCCAATTGTAAAAAAAAAAAAACACCGTGAATCCATCCTACCTGGAAAAACATCCTACCCAATGTTTCTGCGCAGACGCGGCGCATGCGCACAACACCAACGCCAAATTAACTTCTTTTTCTCTCACCCATTCTTTATGTTTAGGTTTAGTCGCAAGTCACCGTCAAACTATAATACGGGTAGGACGTTTTGTCAGAGTAGGATGGTTTCTCAGAACACCGCCATTAGCGCTAGCTTAGCAGGTTTGGCTTACAAACTACTAAAACGAGTACTTAACAAGTCTGTTAATTTATTCCAGTATGCAACAATACGGCGCCTCTCTGCATCCCACCTGGTGTGGTCATTTAAAGTTAAAAGCATGGTAGAGAAGGAAACAAGTGACGGGAACGAAAATTAATTCAAACTCACCTCCCGCTAGGCTCTTCTTGCGGCACACACGTTTCCTGATAAATCCTTTTTCTTAATTATATTATTATTAAAATAGTTCAATGGCTAACTGTTAATAGCAACTGCTACATTCGGCACCGTAGCTAATTAGGCTCGTTGCACCTGTCAACAAAACCAAGACCACGCCCACATGGACCCTTTTCTTTTTTCATCCGAACTCATTCAACTGCTTTTAAAACGCACACCTTTAAAAGAAATTAAGACATTAAGAATGTCTTTTCTCCTTAAAGGTTTGCTTCTTTATAAAAGGAAATAATTTCCCTTAAAATAGATCATGGTTTTGTTTTATATGCTGCTTTGTCAAGAGGAAGATGGCATCATGCAAAGAGCACAAAGAGATGTAATGATGGAGACATAGAGAAGGCCAGAAGGAGCTGCACAGTCTTTGTGGATTAGACAAAATCATATAATATTCAATTCAATAAAACTTTATTGATCCTGAAGGTTGACCCCGAAGGAAAGGAAGGAGGGTATCTGCATGAAGTGATGGTGCTTTTTACTTTAGTGCGAACAACTCATGAATTTGAAAGCTGTTCTAACAGTCCAACACTGGTCTCTCAATCTCCCGTTGGAGAGCCGTGAGCTTTCTATGATGTTATCCAAACTTACGTTCCGTGATGTTGTCGTTCTTTTTGCTCAAAGAGCAGGTTCTGAGAACTCACGACCGCAGTGCACTTCCCCAAGATGTGATTGAATTTGCGCTCAAAGGTGTTGTTCGAGCTAGCCCCTCCAGATGTAATCCAGTTTTTCACTCAGAGGTCTTGTTCTGAGTATTCACGGCAGCCGTGCGTTCTCCAAGATCTTCTCCGTGCTGCACTCAATGAGCCCATTTTGAGAAACTCACGCCTCGTCCCATCATTTCAATCCCAGCGGGCAGCCTTGTGGGGGTTTGAACAGCCGGTCCCGCTTCCTTAATAAGTCAGGGCCAAGCCAGCTCCGATCCGCCAGAACCCTGTTACCATGGTTCCGAATAGGTAGATATCTTCAGCAGTCAGGCTCACCCGAGCCCAGACTTCTCGTTGAGAAGGGGTGTCAATTGCATTCAGAGACCAGTTGATCAAATCCATAATTCTCTTTTAGGTTTTAGAGAACAGACTGTGAGAGACTGTTCAGGGAAAAGTAATACAAAAAACACGAGACTAGACAAGGACATAAGAGGCTAAGCAGGGAAGCTAAGGGAGAGGAGGAGAGGAGAAAAGTGCGACCGCCTTCGTCAAGAGCAAGAGCAGACAGGTAATAGGTTGCAAATAGAGGATCTTAGAAAGCCCGGAGTGGCAGAGAATATGAGAGCGTGGTGCAGGAGATTTAAGAAGACAATGAGATAGTGGCGAGTAGTGACAGACGGGTTCAAGGTTGGGGTGGGATCATGGAATCTCCCTGGCCTATGAGTTTTGCAGATGGCAACTGCAACCTGTTGTGAGAGTAGAGAGCCTGGAGAGGTGGGGGGAGCCAGCAGAAGAAGGTTGAGCGATTTGGAGACAAACTTAGTGATGCAAGGCTGGAATGTTTGGACACGTGCAGAGGTGGGAAAGTGGATATATTGGACTAAGGATGTTAAACATGGAGCTGCCAGGAAGGAGGAAGTTCTCCGAAAAGATTCTGTTAGAGAAGGAGGTGTGCAGAGGGTTGGTGTGACAGACAGGACACCATCAACTGTGGCAATAAATGTTATGCATTTGGGCTGATTAGAAACCACCACTGTGCACTTGCTCACTCAATACCAGCTGCTTACTACTTTTCCATAGAAGGCAAAGTCCACTTCATACAAAACATCCTTAAATTTCCACACAGAGTCAGTTTTAAGCTCCTCTTGCACATTAGCTCAGCTTCATTTCATGAACACATTGAACAGTTAACAAACTCACAACAGCAGCCGTTTCAGTCACAACATCCACAGTTTATATTAAAAAATATAACATCTGCTGTAAGAACATCATTATAACCTGAAGCTTCGATAAAAATCGCCATAATCATGACCAAATGGGTTTAATTTGCCATCTACATGAAACTGCATATTGTTATCATAGCTTTGTTTTTTTAGAAAAAAAAAAAAAATCCCAATGCTTCTGGTAGAGCAATGTGAACGTCCGCTAATAAACACTTAGATTTGCTCGAGACAGATGCAAGTGTGAGTAGGTTTTATTTTTTAGGTGAAGAAAAGATCTAAGAAAGCAAAAATACTTGGTGATGCGTTCAAGTGCTGATGGGAGGCTCTGAAATCACCTCTTATTGCTGCCAAGTGCATGTCTCTAAAGTTTCACCCATTTTAGTTAAGTGTCTAAAACTCGGCGTGCGATCTGTGCTTTAAGTAGTGCCCTGAAAAATAAGAAGAAATTTACACACATTTCACCTAATCAGCGTTGAGGATCTATAACATAGGAAGTGGTGAATGCTTTCAAACACAGCAGAGGACATGAAGGAATAAAGAGCCTCTAACCTCACTGAGTGACATGGACTCCTAAATGCACCACGTGGCTCGAGCCACTTGCGATACTACACAGTGTTAAAGGCTGTCCTGATGCTGAACTCTAGCTCTTCAGATCACTACCCCAAACTGGAATAGTCACAGTGATCCATTCATATATCTCGAGCAAATTCAAGTCACTCCAAGTCTGAAATTTTAAGAACTATGTAGTATTTATAGTTCTCTGTGAGACTGCTTTGAAAGGTTAACCATTATGTCATGATTTTAGGGAAATCAAAATCAGAAATTACAAAAGTCGACGTTACATAAAACTTTTTTTTTTTTTATAAAACTCTCTTCAGATCAAAAGCCATGGCACCAGTCAGTCATCTACATCTAAAAGACACCCACCATCATCCAGACGGGGGCACAAAGTGACATTATGATGCTAAGACTTGGATGCGGATGAATGCTGTGTGATAAAAGTCAACCAAATAATAATAATAATAATAATAATAATAATAATAATAATAATAATAATAAATAAAATGTTAAATCTGCATGTTTTACACATTACAGCTGAATTACTACAGTGCATTTTTGACACGATCGATTCTTAATTTACTTAAGCGGTAAAAACATCTCCAGCATTTTTTTGATTACGATTCAAACTGGCATACAGTTGTTGTTGTTTTTTTACAATTATTGGCCTTTAAGAAGTGAATGTAAAAGCTCCTGTGAGTGCGATCAGAAACAGCTGAGCGATCAAGTTCGTTGGTCAGTCAGAGAGAGGTCGGTCGGTGTGTCCGCTCCGCCGCTCTGCGTCAGTCAGTGCAAGTGATCAGTGCTTCAGTAGTGTGTCGACAACAGCAAAGTCCCATCAACCGGCCTAGGTCAGAGCCCCTAAAAATATTAAATATCACTCTTAATTTGCATATTTTATACATTCTTTACACTAACTGTGCAGCTCTCCGGGTCCAGGATTCTTGGAGGCGAACCAGCTCAACTCCTCAGAATAAAGTTGAGCAGAGTTGCTGGGTGAGTCCTATAATTTAAAAAAGGAAGAAGAAGAAAGGTCTCAACTGCTCACCCAGATTACAATAATCTTGTGAATGATGTTCCTGCAGCAGCCAATCACAGGCCAGCATTGGAGCGTCGAGATTATCGCCTCAACGATGTTGTGAGCAGTCTGAAACCTTCGTGCAGTCCATCGAGTCAAGTTGTTTCTTTTTTCCTTCCTCAGCTGATGTTTCAAAGCTTTAATTCTCCAGGAAATTCTCCAAAAAAGAAAACCGTACGTCTCCATTTGGTCCACTAGGATCACTTCCTTCCTTTGAGTCTTATTACAGCTGCTGGTTGTGTGCTTAGCATTTGAAAAAGCCCACTCTCCTGTGGCTGCTGCTTCTTATCCAGTGCAACACTGCCCTCAAACAGGATCTGACACAGCTTGAATTGAAATGACAAGAAAAACAAAACAGATGTACCCCCCTAAAAAAAAAATAATAATAATAATAATCACGTTAGCTGAAGACTGAGGGCGTCTCGTGTTTGTTCCGCTTTCCCGATTGCTTGCTGAGCTTCAGTTCGCTGATGCGGAGCAGATGCCGTCATAACAGCTTGTCAATCACTGCGACTCCTGAAACAACGAGACGACCAATCAGAGAAAGCAGATTTGCAAACAGGTAATACGTGTTCAGCCCGTCACGTTCATTTCTCCCGGTACTGTAGAAATACTGCCTGCAAGGAGACCTACCAGCATAACTTCGTCCATTGCTCATGTTGGTGGGAATGAGGCTCCACTTGTCTGTGGCTGGGTTGTAAAACTCTACAGAGGACAGATTGCAGGACCCGTCATCTCCACCGATCACATACAGCAGCCCGTTAATGGCACAAACACCTGGGGGGGAGCAATGTAACATGTTTATTTTAAAGATCAGCACAGGAAATTTGTCCCATTTATCATTAAATGACCCAATTTACAAAATAATCAGCGTACACCACGTTTACGTATGTTTTATTAGCAATACAGGAGAATAAAGGTTTTTAGTCATCTCTTACAGATCGAATATCTTTAAAGCACAGGCCAGTAGAGTACATGAACATCTTAAAGCCAATCTGAACATCATGCAAGAAAATATTGTAAATATTTGTACATGTAAATCTAACAAATGGCTCTCTTACCCATAAACGGCAGCTGAATAGTTATTTATTAGTAACAATTTAAATAACTCAAGGACCAAAAAGAAAGGCAGTCATCAGCTTTTCAGAGGGAGAAATAAAGCTTTAGCCAGAGCGTACGATGAATAGATCGATAGATGCTGTGACCGCAGTCTGACCTGCGTTTCGTCGACACATGTTCATGTCGCAGACCAGCCTCCAGGTGTTGGTCTGTGGGTCGTACACCTCCACACTCTTTCTCACCAGAGGACCGTCATGGCCTCCTGCTGCATACAGCTGACCACCCAACACACCCACACCTGGACAGAAATGTTTTTTAAATAAATATCAGGAGACTGTGACGGTGAAATCCTCCAAAACCCCAAATATAGTGCAAATTCACCACAAATGAAGAGCTTTAACAAAACAAGTTCTGATTTTGTTCAGATTATTTTTACAAAGCAGTTAGCGTCCACCAGGGGGTGCTGTTTCTACCAGTTAAATGGTTAGAAAAAGGCCAATTCACCATCATAGAGCGGGATGATTAGATGCTTCTAATACTGATATTACACAACACATTATGATCAGAGCATGTGAGCATTCGCTTGGATCCCACTGATGGAAATTTCTATTTTTCCTGAATACTAAGGGTTGAGCTGTGATGCTGCTCCCTGTGTGGATGTACAGTAGGCAGGATACAGTGTGTGGTACCTGCTCCACTTCGCCGTGTGCCCATCTCAGCTACATAGCACCACTGATTAGAGACTGGGTCATATTCTTCCACTGTACTGAGACACTGGCGTGATGCACCATCATAACCCCCTACTGCGTACAGTTTACCTACAGATAAACACAAACCGGTTAAAAACAGCATATACATATTTAAAGCTTGGATTTTCATTCTGATGGCATAAAAGGTAGCTGACACACAAGTCACTCTTACCATCAACCACCCCTACACCCACGCTGCTGCGTCTGGTGTTCATGGAGGCGACGTACGTCCACTCGTTGGTTTTATAGTTGTAAACCTCGACTGTTGACAAACCTGAGACACAGATGCAAAGAAAGAAGGGAGAGATGTAGAAATGGGAAAGACTGGAAGCGAAGGTCTGCGGTAAAGGGTTACCGAGTACGTTATCACATCAGTCTGTGAGCCTTCTACACCCAGCTGGTAGATGTGTTGTGAGAAGAAAATAGATCTTCTGCCTCCTGTGTTTTAATGGGGTTTAATAGAGCATAAGAGCGCTGTGCCACTACAAGCAAATGTATCAAATGAGAAGAACAGTCAGATGATGATACCAAGGAAAAACAACTTTTTTTCTAAAGGGAAAATATTTTTCTTCACTTGCATAGAAATTTACCTTAATTTCCTTCAGTATAAACAGTTCATAATCAGTATTTTTATATTAATTGAAGGCAGTGCAATGAGATCCCTGTGAGCAGCAACTGGATGTGTGATAGTTCTCAAACTGCAATAATGTGACAAATGTATCTATTCCGACTGAAATTTACTAAACTTAAAAATGTGTTTATTTGAGTTACCAACAGGCACATTATGCATAAACCCACTGCTATTAATAGCTACATGCATTATGTGTACCTATGCTTCCATTAAAGCCTCCCACAGCATACAGTAAATCGCCCAGCACAGCGGCTCCCAGCGTGCTGCGTCTCTCCTGCATGCTCGACACCGCACTCCACTGGTCTCTTGTGCCGTCGTACACGTCCACCGTACGCTCCCGCAGCGAACTGTTGAAACCTCCAACCGCAAACACTCGGCCCGCCATGGAAACCACACCTGGGAAACAAGACAAAGAATTTGGGGATGAGATCATAGCTTGTTAAATTCCAAAAGTCATTGCTTCTATGAGGAAACCACAAGAATGTTTAGAAACCAACATGTCAGAAATGCACAAAGTCTGTCTTGAATCCTTGTATCTTTAACAGTCTTTGTTACACCCTTGCTGAACCTCCTTCATAGGACTCTACTAGACCACAGCTGGTCTGCTGCATTGTTCTACTGATTGTTTCTCCTTTTTTCAGTGCTTTTGGAGTAGGGCTGTGCGATATGACCAAAATCTCATATCCTGATATAACCCCGCTTTATTGTGAAAGGTTTATGTGGAACATAAACAAGCAGACACGCGAAGGTGTTACCGTCATTGTTGCTAACCACAACGCATAAAAACAGGCGCTTGTAGTGTGGTTATATTAAATATAAGAGAAAGAGAGAACTTTAAGAAATTAATACAGCCACTACAGTGACCATCAAAATGATGAAAAATATCGCCGTGAACAGTTTAGTTTATTTTGCGACATCACGAAACAAACGATAGCGTAAAATGAAACGACAGATGTTTTTATATCGTCATATCGAACAGCCCTATTTTGGAGTGCAGGAACCAAAACCATAATAAGTTTACAGAACTTTTTGGGGCCGTTTTATCTGCTACTACAGAGTCAGTAGTTTTGGTCCATACATATATGTAGGCTTGAGTAATCTGGATAAAGCAAAACTAGTACAGGTATACATGTATATAGATTAGTCATTGAACATAAATGCAGCACAAGCCACCAGCATTGCAAAAATATACATGTAAACCTTAAAAAGTGGATAAATAAGGAAATATTAATGCACCGTAAATTGATCCTATATAATATACATTTTAACCTGGTATATAAGACCATATATTCCTGTCAACATAGTACAGGGCATCCAACACACTGCAAACAAATGTAGAAATAAGAGATGAGAAATAAGGTTTGGGCGGTACACAATTCCCTGGGAACAGTGCAGACAGTCCCCAAAACTGATTGAAATGCAGCCATTATTTCTATTTTTCCATCAGAAGTGCATTTGCAGCAGTGTTATCCAACCCGCTGTTTTCAGATGTCACTAGACACACCAAGTAATGAACTAACCTGCCCGGCAGCGTCTAGAGGGCAGATCGGCCACTTGGTACCAACGATCTTCCTGGAAGTCGTAACACTCCACGCTGCGAATGGCTTTGGGAGCCTGACCACCCACTACAATCATCACCTGCACGTCCACACAGACCCACAGTAAGAAAATACAAGCGCACACGTGTATTCTATGTTAAAAACCTTCAGCTTTGGCACATTTCTGCGTGTACCTTTGGGATGCTGATCGGAGTTCGTGGTCGCGTCCTATCAGTCTTTATGAGGTGACGCTGGTCAGCAGGCAACAGGTGATACTTCATTGCTTCTATGAGGAAATCTTTACAAGTGTTGTTGTTCTTTATCAAAGCTTCTTCCTCTACAATCTGAAACAAGGATCAGATTTCATTCAAGATGAAGACACAGTAGATTTCTGTTGAGTACTCAGCCTTTCAGTCTCTGGAGGCATTTCTAAATGTAATAACTCCTTTCATCAAGTCCCTCTGTTGTTGCAATACCTGTTTAAAATGTGGCAACAGTGGCAGAGACATGAACACTACAGGTGGGAGGCGAGAGAAAAAAAAAAAAATTACGTGGGAAACCGGTTTCTTGTGTGTGACTTGAGCAAAAAAAAAAAAATCAGTGCTGCTGAAAGATTTGCATGTAGGCACACTAATTGTAGCAGCTGGCCCACAAACACGATGACTAATGTACTGCACAAAGACGAACAAACAGTGATTTATTTCAGCATCAACTCTTCTTAACATACTGTGATGAAAACCATTTGTAGCTGTGGGAGTGACTTTGTTATCCAACCTAAAGGCCAGAAACTAGTCTAACATCTTAGTAGAGCAGCGATTCCCAACTGGGACGAGCCATCAAGGTACGGCAAACAAAGCTATGAGCTGAATTTATTGTATATCACATTAACAGTGGGGCTCTCAAATGTAAAGCGGATTGAGAAACTAAACAAGCAAATCATTAAAAATCAAATCAAGGACAACATAATGAAGGAAATGCTTGATACACTGGTGTGATGGTCAAAGTTGTGGGTTGGCCAGAGGAGATTTTTAGCTCACATAATGAGCGATAGCAGTCTTAGGTTTGAAAAAGCTCTTTTGAATATTCAATTATATCTGATGGCACGGCTGACTGAAAGCCATGATTAACCCCCGTCCCCTGTTGGTCAAAGACCGATAATGTTTAAACAGAATTCGTTTTACCTGTACCAGGTAATCTCTGGAAAGCAGTGGAAGTCTCACATGCTCCATTAGTTTGGGCATGTATTCCAGACGAGCTGGTTTATCATGTTTGATCCACGATATCATCGCCTCGAACACCTAAGAACAAGGAAAAATATGAAGGATATGGAGAAACTGCTCCGAGGTAGAAGCGACCACAGCAGTTTATTACATAGACTCTCAGTTACTTTGTTTGGCCCCACTTTGTATTTACAGGTGCTTATCTACATCAGTACTCCACATTTTCAGGGGTGTGTGAAAGTTTGAAAACTTTTGGGGTCAAAAATTTTAAAACTGGGAACAAAACCTGTTGACACAAGCCCAATTTTATCCCATCCCCTTGAAGTTAAGAGGGTGTGACAGATTTTTCTTGGAAGCTGCTGGATGTTAGAAACACCAGCATAAATACACGACACCTCATAATCCCAACGACTTTCCTGTTTTGTAGATGCCGTGAAGTTTCAAGCCTGACCGCTCCAGGGAGCAATCAACAGAACAGAGGCTGCAGACACTAGTTTCATGCCACACCACATTCATATTCATTGTGCCACTTCAGTCCCATTTATCTCTTGATTGCCTGTAGGGCAGCTCCACAAGAGCAAAGGGGGGGGGGGGGGGGGGGGGGGGGGGGCTGCGTGCCCCTCACATTGTGCACAAAGGAAAGTGGCAACGTTTTACAAGGCAGCACGTCGAATGTCCTCAGACAGGCACTGTGAGTAAAAATGCAGAGACTCCTGCTGCCATTTATTTCAACTAGAACACAACCAGTACTGTACAAAAGTTTTGTAGCCAATCATTTCCATTGTTTTTAATTTAACGGTGCCTATGAATCATTCAAGCATAAAAAGACTCACCCAACTCAAGGGATGCACCAGTTTTTCTCTAAACATAACAAACAACCTAGCAAAAAAAACTGTTTTAAATCGCATCTTTACACAATTCATTACTAGAAAGCCTGTCAGAAATGCAAACACAATTTGTTCCCATTTCTTTAGCTGAATCTTTGAAAGAAAAAAAAAAAACACCAAAGATAACAGTTTGACGTGCATAGAAATCGTGTTTTTCCACCAGTAGGGCAAATACCAAAGTGCTATTAGGTGGAAACCTAACTTATTGTGGCAGTATGCACTTCCAAGATTAGAGGAAACTAGTCCAATAGCAGAAATGGGCAACTGGGAGCTAAAAACTACCAGCAAATAAATCACTATCTGAAAGTTACGTCCTTAACAAATGAGACAAAATCCAGCAAAAACCCAACTGGCCCTTTTGTTGAGCCAGTTGTTTGTTAAAGCCTCGTCAGAAATGGTGTGAGGGGAAGGGTGGCTGTTAAGAAGCCATTCTCATGGAAGAGAAGTGGACTGAAAACCAGTGGCAGCGGTTTTGATGAAGTGATGAATCCAAATTTAAATTTGGACTGGATTAACCAGAGCCCAAACCTCAACATTACTGAAGCAGTGCGGGATCATCTTGACACAACAGAACAAAAGGCAGCCACCAACATCCAAAGCCTGGAGAACTACTCCTGAAGACAACTCAGACAAGCTTTCTAGTAATTTCTTTAAGAGTCCGGCTGTTTAAGAATAAAGGTGATCATAGCAAATACAGACTGTCAAGCTCCTTTGTGTTTATACCAGTTCTGTTTTTGCCTTATATAGGATTGCACATTTCAATCCATCACTGCACCCATTTTCAATTTTCCTTGCAAAATATAAAGAAATAACGGCTGATGCAAGACTTTTGCACAATGTAAAGCAATAAAAACTGCAATTTGGGTTATTCTCCTCTCAACTAAGAGGTTAATAGAGGGGGAACCCTGTTTCAATGATGCATGAACACTCACATGATGGAAGAACAAAGTCAAATTGAGACAATACACAAAAATGACCTCAAGAAGTTAATCCACTCACTTCATTTAATCCACTCACAAAACAGCTGCAGCAGGTAAATCAGAGCTAAATGACTGTGTCTGCTGATGCAGTTTGTTTGGCGCTTCATGGTTAGCGTGACAGCGTCCAACTCCCCGCGTTTATGTTTGAATCAACCTTTGCTGTCAGTGCTCTGACAGCAGCATGTCACACAGCTGCTACATCAAACTCTTGCTGTTTGACAGGTTAACTGCAGACAGATGCGCCATCCCCAGGAATATACGTCTGCTGTCAGATTCAGCCCATCATACACAGCAAGTGTGGGATGACTCTTTTTTACTGTCCCTTTTTCTGAAGTCTGCTTTACTTCAGAGATTTTGTGATCACTGAAGTGAAAATCTGTTATGGATTTCATTTTCACTCAAGCATCTTTAAAAAAAAAAAAAAAGAATAAAAATCTCTATCTTTATGGTGACGCCTGACCTTTTCCTCTGTTGACACGGTGAGTTTGTCGCTGGAGATGAGGCTGCACACCTGCTGCAGAGAAAGGCTCAGAAACTCCTCGCCCTGCACCACATCAGTAAAATGCTGCTCTGAGAGACACAAACATCCACAGCACACATTAAACACTGTCCCAGCAAGCGAAGCTTAAATGAAAACATGTTCGTTGTCTTTGCTGTCCAAGACACCTAATGTATTCCCTAGACTCGTGTCAGATTTTAAACACCTCATAAATCAGCCAACTCACAAAGTGACAGATTATGTGGCGCGAATAGAGAAAGAAAAAACAAAAATCTTACCAGCGTAAGCATGAGCCTGGTTGAGAAGCTGTGTGCATGTATGCAGGTCAGCAAAGGCTCTGATGCCCAAGCAGTTGGTGGGATGAAGCTGAGATTGCAGGAATTCGCAACAAACCTGACGCACATCCATCAGCTGGAGGAGGCTGGCTGCAGGCAGCAGTACCTAATATTTGTTTTTTTTAAAAAGTCACAAAAAGTTGAGTTAGCAGTTTACCTCCACAGCCATTCCCTGTGTACACAACTCAAGACTTCATCAGCACAGCAGGTCTGTTATTCAGTGAGCTAATCAAACAAACTCAAACGCATCATTCAGGTTAGGAAGCAAACTGATACCCGGTAAGTTTATCAGTAGGATTAACTTTAAGGATCGGACAGAACTGAAGAAGCTTCTCGGATGAGAGGTGAATCGTCTTCAAGCAACTTTAAAAAAGTCCAGACGCTTTTCTTTGCAAGCTCCTTAAAGTAGAGAAACTCACATTTGGTTTTGATCTCTACTTTGAATGAGGAGCTACTAAACGACTTCCTGCAAGACTTTCAACTTGGTGCAAGAGCCTCTAAAACGAAAGGTCACAAACATGTCAGCTATGCTTGCCACTTAGAGTTTATAAACACAAACATCATGGATTTAACAATTTTCTGCAATTCTTCATCCCTCTATTTTCTTTACCAGCAATGAAAAATAAATAAATCCAGCCCGGGACCATAATCAGCCAATAGCCATTGTCCTTGGTCCTGACCAGAGTCGACCTCATATATGATTACAAGCCAGTCCGATTCATGCATGCACAACACATACACGCTGACAGCCACGCGCCAACATGAAAGCTTCTCACTGGGCGTGAATACACAACACCGCATGGCGACGACCCCAAAACCACTTGAAACAACAAACCTAATCAGACACTTAAAATCACCTTCATCTCGCTGAACACTGACATCAACTGAGGCTAACAAAGGCTAAAGCTATCCAGAGCTCAGAGCCAGGACTAAGACGGCAGCCTCGGTACGAGCAAAGGCTCAAAGCAGAGACAAGTGAAAAAGAAAAAGAGCTTGATGTCTGCTGAAGTTAGGAACACTGGAAACATTATTCAAGTACCTGAAATTGATTTTGTTATATAAACCTGTTGAACCTGCTTCTGTTTGGTAGGTAAAAGTGGGTGTGCAGCAACTCATTTTCAGTTACGTGTACCTCTTTCCACTAAAGAAGATCCTGCAACTTACTGCAATTAGGGAGAAAAGCTTAGCCTTCACTGTAAATCTGCCTCCCTTTTTTTGTTGTGTTAAAAACAAAGCAAGTCCTTATCCTTTACAGCAGAGCGCTTTCACCCCTCCTTGGCACGCCAAACCGAGTCCCTGTTTATCGCAGCTCAAATAAAGGTAACTAGAAAAGAGCTTTTTATCAACACGATATAAATAAAGTCCTAAATAAAGAGTTATCTGAAAAATCTGGCTCCAGTCCGCCTTCTGCAGCTTTTGTTTGTATTGTGATTTTATTGTTAGAACACTAGATATTATGCTAAACTCATCACTGTGACATAAAGATAGACGAAAAAGAAAAAAGATTAATAAGACCAAATAAGTGTTTGCACACATTCAACTGGCAACACTTACTGCTCGATCAGTACTGACCTTGGCCACTTGAAACTATTTTCTAGACCAGCCCTCATTTTTTTGGCTACGGCTATGTTTTTAAAACGGGTGCCGCTTTTTGTCCATTTCAACATTTGTGACAAGCATCTAGGGAACTGCCGAGAAACTGATGCTAACAAAGCTACTCATTAGTTTAAGTAGGTCAGTGTCTGCCTGCCTCAACACCTCGCTGTTTCTTCAGACACACACACTCATCCACTGAATGAGTATTGTCACTGTGTCCTCTGTTTCCTGTACACAGCTGCCCCGAAGCCTTGCATCTTCTAAAACACAGCATCAGGCCCAGTGAAACTCTGTTTACAGCAGCTGTGACACACCAAAACACACACGGCTGCAAGCAAAACAAAAACACTTTTAGTACAGAGAAACGCTGACTTTCAAGAAAAGAAAAAGAGTCTAAATCCAACTTTTGACAGATTTTTTTTTTTGTCAACACACACACACACACACACACACACACACACACACACACACACACACACACACACACACACACACACACACACACACACACACACAAACACACACACACACAGCTAACAGTTGGAGGATTTCCTGCCTTGTCCATGCACACTTCCTGCACTAATAATCAGAGGAAGTATCTTGCCTGCAGCTGGATCAAGCTGAGCTGTGAGAGAAGTAATGCAGCTACCACAGGTTAATGCCACCGAGCTAACCAAAGCCTCAGCGCTGTGCTTTCACAGCAGAAAACCCCACAGAAAGCTCTGTGTTTGTCCTCTGTAGTAAACATCTGCTCCTCAAACACGGCCAATCGGACCATCCTGATAAAAGGGAAAGACTTAAAATGACGACAATCCCTTTCAGGTATTATGCAGCTGTGTCTGAAACACATTTATGATTAGAAACAAAAACAATAATATCATTAAAATGCTTTTGTGAGCAACACTTATTAAAATTAATTTAGGTCTTAAAACAGGTAAATAGAGGCACTTTCCCCAAGAAGGACAGTTCAAAATATGTGTTTAGTTTATAGTTTAGCAACAGTGTTTAAAAAAATTTAAGCTTTTATCCACCCCAAACAGGATTAATATGCAGTTATTCTTTCTTGTACTTAAACTGGTGAACAAAAACAAAGGTCAGGATAAAGAAAAGGGCAGCAAGTTACAAATTTCCTTCTTAAAACAAAGGATGTTTTGTAAGAGCCAGACTTATGCTGCGATCGTTTTGCTTGGAGCAGCAGCAGCACCACTTTGATATAATTATCTAACTTGTTAAACAAGTGTGAAAAAAGAAAGTGTGACAACATGACGTTTTAATATGCAGCTCCCCAGGCAGCTCCATGTTTACTTCTCCACTGTTAACCATTAAACAGAGGAGACGACCAGCTTACAGGGCTAGGCGTTATTAGCAAAGGTGATTATGTTATTGCTGCTAATATACAAGAGTCGTTTTAAAGCACAAGCAGTCTTCAAATGAACACACAAGCCACCATAAGAGAGCAGAAACGGGAAGGAAATCTAGGATTCTCACCTGGACGTTGTCCTCTGTGACCTCGATCTCTGCTGTGTAAATATAGTCGACCAGTTTTCTCAGAGTCTGACCGTCCACCTCTCTGATCTCCACCTGGTGAGCTTTACTCTCACTCATATCACCTGCGCACACACAGACACACACAGCTAAGCATACACACAACTGTGTGCAGCATCATACACAATGCACCAACAATAGTGTGCATGTACCTGTGAACATGGCACAGAAGTAAGGGCTACAGGACGCCAAGACCACCCTGTGAGCTGGCACTTCAACGCTCCCGGCTACCAGCTGGACGTCACACAGCATCTTTTTACTGGAGGAAGGACAAACAGACGGCGTTATGTACGAGAACCTTCAACTGACGATGTCCATAACTAGACATCTGATTTTATCGCTTGCAATTTTCAGATTCGTCATTATTTTTGTGCAGAAACACTCAATTTCCTAATGTTACACACCTACAAACACGACGTTTATTAGAAAGTAAATCTAAACAGACATGTGGCAGTAACACTATGAGATTAAGGCATTGAAACAAAGAGAATTTAACTCACTTTTCGATAAAGACTTAAAAAAAATTACTGACATTAGAACATAAATATGTCACAGACATACGATAAACACAAAAATAGAGCAACAGATAAGCATTAATGCTTCTGGTCATTCCAGTTGCTTTGTCAATTGAGAGTTCTGGAAGGATTATTTGAGTTGCGTCAAAAATATAAGACAGAATTATTAAAATGTTTTTTGTACAAATGTGAAGTTAAATCTGCACTCAAGAGCAGAGCCAGGCAAGAGGGGCACCTTTGAAGTACAAAAACTCTGGTATTCATCACCAGTTGATGAAATATCACAGTAAAATACATGAACCTGGGCCAGTTGTGTTGAGGTTCACATTTCACAATTAACAAGCCCACAGTCGTTTTTGTCATGCATGTGCAGAATAAAACATCCCCACCCAACAGAAGAGGTTTGCCAGTAGCTGTTCGACAGTGATTTGCAGTTGAAGTCGCTTCTTTAAAAACGCAGCAGTTCAGTTCAGGCAGAAGTCATGTACTGCTGCACTGACATTTTCAGACAAGCCAGGTGAACAAGCGAAGACTTGCATGTCCTTTCTGGCTTACAAAACTCGATACGGCCTCTTCGTTCTCAAGTTAAAACGAAACGGTAGAAACAACAATTTGAGCTACGCACCTCCTCAGGTCGTTCATCAACTGAAACGCTTTCCTCATGTGCGTCTGGTTGAAGGTGTGCATCCCTCCATTCACCGTGTCCTCTTCTGAATCGGTGGCACATGGTGGACGCGGTGAGGCCGGTGTGGCAACCAGACTGGTAAGACATAAGAGGCGGTGTCTGGATCAGCGGATAGCGATGATGACAAAAGGCAACCACAAACCATAACAAAGCCTCCACCATCTTTTACAGATGACTGTAGACACTCACTGTTGTACATCTCCCCTCACCTCCTCTGTACATATGGATGATCTGAACCAAAAATAATTTTATACGGCTTCTTCACTCCATAAAACTTGTTGCTACAGTCCAGTTCTTATGTAATTTGGCATAGCTCAGCCTTGTCTCCTCATTTCCCTTCCTTAGGAACAGATTTTGAACAGCCACATATCCAATGAGAACATTTCTGATAAGGCTTCAGCAAACAGTGGACAGATCAACTGAAGGTTCATATGCATCTCTCAGATCCTGTGTCACGTCTTTGTGTAGATACAACACTGGCTCATCCTTGAGTTAGGTGCCTTTTTATCCTTGAATGGTTAACTGGTTAGTGTTAAGTAGAAAGTTTGGATTTCTCAAGACAATCAAAACAACAACAACAACAACAACAACAACAGAGTCTGGCTTCTTGGAAGCAAACTACAAAAAAATGAGTATGTGTATACTCAAAGCTGATCCATTAGACTGATGGATGTCATCTTCGCGTTAATCCAAAGGTACCAAATAACCATTCAAGCATGTCTATTTAACTGAGGATACCTGCTCTATTCAAGATGATTGGAGGAAAGGTGTTCTTTGACCCTATCCTTTATTAAGGATTAAAGCTGGATACATTTTATGGTCAGTGCATCCTTTAAAAGGGTAAAAACAGCCACAATATATAGGGTTTCATTTCTTTTAACGAGCTAAGCAATTAGTGCCTATTTGCTGTGGAAGATTAACAAACATCTGCCACACAGATGGCATGTGCATATTACTGGTAACTTCTTTTACACAGGGACTGCACAGAAAAAGAAGCCCTCACACATGCTTACAAGGAAATGGGGGGAGAAAGAGCATGCAGACCCGAAGCTTCAGCCCAAACCTTAGGATATTAATTTACAAGCAAATGTGACCTGCAGCGAGCTGAAAGCACATCTGATAGTGTCGGACAGAAAAACCGCTGTTTATTTAAACAGTGCTTGGCCGTCTCCACCGTGCATGTACTGTACGATGTGCTATCTTAACTCTCAAAACAAGCCGTCTCTTCACCCACAGATAATCAAGCATTTCGAAGAATTTATGATGCTGCACTGAAAAGTCCCAGTAGCTGCCCGGTAATTCGTTTTTGTTTAACAGCTTACGGTAAGCTTGTCTTCATGCGTCCAAAAAAACCAAATCAACAGGAAGCTGTTCAATTCATTTTAAGTTTGTTGTGGGTTAAGTTAGCTAGCTCCTAGCATTGCTAACCAACATATAACCTTATGACAGCCATGGATATCAACTGAAATCGTATTCTAAGCTACTTTAAAAATAATTACAAACCAACCCACTTTCAGTCAACTATCTACAGTCTGGTTTGGTTGGCTGCCATCAGCTGAGCAGCCAGTGATGCTAGCTGACTAACGGGCGCTAACTAGTCAACACAGCTAGCCCCGAGTTCGCGTGCTGTGAGCGAGCTCTCGAGCTGTCCGTGTTGGGTTTCTGGCCACTACATCGCGTAGGTTCAAATGTCATCCAGCAGATGCAGAAGCAGCCTGAATCCCATCTTTAGAAAACATAATCCCCACCGATGAGCCAACTCACCCCAACGACACACCGTCCATCCTCCCGGAGTCAGAGAACACAGCGGGCATGAGCGCCGAGCGGCCGGCTGCACGCAGATCGTCTATTAGAAAGATGAGTAACTCCGCAAGACTGGCATACACAGATGGTTTTATATGGTGACTCACTCCCTTTATTTTTATGCACATTTTTAAAAATAGTTATACAAACTGTATTAAAACACAGTAAGCCAACCTTTGAAAGATAATAAGTAATGACAAGAATTATCAACAAGACCACAATTTCATAAAAGTTATAGGGTTCATCGTTCTTTCTTTGTATCATTCGTCTTTTGTTGTCATTTCCAGTGAAAACAGGATCAGGGATCAACATTTCCCTGAAATTACTAAATGCTCCTCCCACGATAAACTTGAATTTCTCTTATCTTAAAAACACAACTGATTTGAATTTAAATTAGCTGGATGATTATAATTCAGATATTCCGATTAACTAAAAAGAAAATGCGTTTCGATGCCTTTTGTTTCCATTTGCACTATAAAGGCAGCACAGTCAATAAATGCTTTTGCATTTGCAGGACTTCATGAGTACAATTGATTTTCCATCATCTGGCTAATCAAATCACTGTTTCAACTCTAACAAGAAATGTGAAATCCATCACCTGGTATAAAGCAGGGGCGTTACCAGCTACTTAAGATAACAGGAAATGCAGCAACGTTGTAGACATAAAATAAAGCCATTTTTTTGTTATTTTAGTTGTATTGCAAGAGCTGTTAGTCTTTAAATCTCTGCAATGGAAGGACTGCCAAAGTAAAAGAATTTAGATGACTTAAAAATCACATCTTAAATAGGCCCACATTATGAATATTTAGGTTTTATTAAATAGCAAGATTGTACAATCCAAAATTGCTTACTGGAGGGTTGTTTACCAACTGGTGGCCTGCATTTAGTCTATTAGTGTATCATAAAATGCTTACTAAGGAGTCAAATACAAATAGTCACATCTGGTCACATCTGCACTGAAAGAGTCCCATTTTAAAATCTATGGGAGCATTCAGTGATTGCAAATACCACGAAGCAAAATTCCTACCCATTATTGTGAGCTTTCAAACGTAAGTCAGCCACCCTTTGAATTCACATTTGAGCAAAAGGGGTATGCAGAACTATTTCTATAAGTTAATTGTTCCTATTTTAACAGCACAAACATGCATTTAGTTTACTTCAGCAATAACAAAAAATAACTTGAGGAACTTTCTTCTATCAGTTGAGGTTAAAATAAAAATGCTTATAGGCTTTGTATTAGCACTTTTATGCACTATTTGCAAGGGATTCAGCAAATTATAAAAGTGGCTCAAAAAATAACTCTTTGGACTACAGTTAAAAAAATTACATATCAAGTTCTGCACGTAGTGTAAATAATGGTCGTCTCTATAATAAATCTTTCTAGCTCCACCCACTGTTTGACTTAGTATTTTACATTCACAGTCATCTGTCCAGTGATCGGAGCTTTATTCTGGCTTCCTGTGAGTCAGAGATTTTTCTGCTGTTGTAAAACACTGAACGGGTTGGTGTCAACAGCACTCCTCTCACAAACTCTAAAGGGAATAATTATGAGTTATACACCGGAGTCTTCTCAGTTAGCCTCATTTAATATTGCTAATCTCACTCGCTATGAATTGAAGTTGACTTAAAATCCTATTTGTAACCTGTGAAAAACAAAAAAACCTGCAACCCTGTGCCTGAAGAACTGAACTCTGTGTGACCTTTGGGGAAGCTGTACCTAGATCCCTGTAGGGTGGCTTTGAAGGGAGGTTGTCATACAGTTTACAGGGAGTAAACACTGGGAAGCATGCTGAACATAGGCACGCTCAAATACACTGGAAAAGCAAAGCTTGGCCTGATATGTTTGGCATGTGAGAGGTGCTTCACATTAATATGCATTTAGAGTCTACGCTTGTGCACAATACATGTGGTTAAATAACAAAGAGAGAAGGTGTCAGCGGCACTTTGTCTTTCTCTGCTGCTCGTGCTTAAGTCTCGACACCCCAGGGGATCATTTTTACTCCTTAGTTTTTTATTTTACATTTTCTATTAGGATCTGTTAATCTGGTTTAAATCAAGCATTATATCTAGCAAGATTATGCTCAAAATACTTTGCAAAACAAGCATTACAAATTAACGCTCAAACCTTTTGTGAAGTGTAACTTTTCATTAAATATATTAAACAGGATACAAGGCAAGGCTGCACAGAAACGTTAAAATCATAGGTTTTCCAGGCCTGTTTTCTGCATTTATTTCTGATTTCCTTCCTGGAAATGCACATTCTCATCTCCAGGCCTCTTAGGTCAGGTTTGTGATGAGTATGTGCATTTCCATGTACTAAACTGATAATAGAAGACCAGCATTCAGTTTTAAGTTCGCTCGAGGTCTCTTCCAACTCTCATTCCATTTAATCTAAAGCCAAAATGATTCAGTCAAACAATGAATGTATGCTACTAAACGTGCTTTATAAAAATCAGGCATGAAAGGAGTGATAAAATGCAGTGTACAGCTGTAACAACATCAGGTTATAACACTCAATGTTAAAAAGAAAAATACTTTCATATAAAAACACCCAGTATTTGGATATTTTCCAAACCAGAAACAGGTTCAGAGTGAGAGCTCTCACTTTATTCTTCCTTTGCCTGTGCACCTACTTTCCTCCATAAAATCTTGTAGGTCATGTAGGTGTTGCTGATGACATCCAGCCCTTACACAAGCGGATTTGGTACACACTTTAGCACCATGGCCGGTTACGTTCATCTATATCTGCCAATACCTAACACCTCTCCCCTTTGTTTGATGGACACTAAATACTGGTTGCTCCCAGGTGAAAATATTTATCAGCTGGCTGAATCTGTGAGGGTTTTAGGAGCCTGATATTGTGAAAACCTGTAGATCTGTAGATCAATATGGAGGAAAAATAAAAAGACAACTGGTAAGTCTTAAAAAAAACAAACAAAAAAAACAAAAACAAAGCAGTTAATCAAAATGAGGATGCTCGTTTATTTTTTATGTTGTATAGGAATAACAAATACTGCTTTGGTGATTCACCACCTCCAAAATGGCCGATGTAGCAGAAATCCATGATTTCCAGGCAATACTACCTCCTAGTGGTCGTTTCCTGAACCCAATTTAAAGAGGAGAGTTTAAGGATTTAAAAAGGAAATAAAAATAATTGTTCCCAAACGTTCCCAAAGTGGGGGGTTTAAAAGCACTTTCTGTTGATCTGAATTAAGACTGCGAGATTAGATAGATTTTTAAAACATTAAAAACTTTAATAAAAGCAGAACATAGGGGGTGAGCTGAACACATGAATTTCAAAGGATTTTAATCTAGGCAAAACAAAAAAAGAAAACAAAAAGAAAACTGGGACGGGAAAGTGGGGCAAGAGTACAGTGAAAATAGTCCCTGACATTTCTCAAAACAATAAACAAAAGAGAGCAAAGAAAAAAGTTTTAGGGTCAAGAAGCTGAAGAAATCCAGTCCCATGCTGCCGGACACTGCCACAAACTTTACCTAAAACCCTGAGTTCATGGTGTGAAAACAGGCAAAACTGACAGATCTGCAAATCAAACAATCGATTTTTTCTCATTTGAAGCAGTGACTGACAAAAATTATACTTAAAGAATTCAACATAACAAAATACAGTTCAATAATTCACAATTCTTAGTATTAAAGTCCATAACGTGTGGAATAAGAGGACAAGAAGGGAAGTCCTGGTGGGGGGTGGATGGGATCCAGAAAGCAGGCTGTGTGGGTGATGGGCGTTGCTTCTTTTTAATTGAACTCGAAGACCACCTCTCACCCCCTACCTGGACATGTGTAGCTCGTGTGTGTAAATCAAGTCCATTTCAATTAGAAATGAATCTCTCATCGTTTGAGGGCGCCATTAGTAGCCACTGCTAAATCCACCACCCCTGTTATAAGGAGCCCCGCTCCGGTAAGAAGTATAGTTGCCCCCCTTCATCGCTCCGTAACTGGAGTGCTGCTGTCCATAGCCGTCCCCAAAGTCCCCATTGCTGTACCCGCCACCCATCTGGCTGTCGTATTCGTCGTATCCCCCGTAGCCTCCGTAGCCATCCCCCCGTTATAGCCCCCGCCGTAGCCGTAGCCACCCCCGTAACTACCGCCGTAGCCGCCTCCGTAGCTGCCGCCGCCGCCTCCTCTTCCGCCGCCGTAACTCTGCATCCCTCTCCCTCGACCCCTTCCTCCCCGGCCGCTGGTGGACATTTCCTGCTTGGTTAGAGCCTTTTTCACCTCCACCTTGTTCCCGTTGATGGTGTGGTATTTGGTCAGGACCGCTTTGGTGGCGGAGTCGGTATCCTCGAAGAAGACAAAGCCGAAGCCTCTCTTCCTGCCGGTCTGCTTGTCGGAGATGATCTCGGCCTTCTCCACCGCGCCAAATTGCGAGAAGTACTCGGTCAGGTTCTCCTCAACGATGTGGTCTTTCACGCCGCCGACGAAGATTTTCTTGACATTGGCGAGTATGTCCGGGTTGTTGGCATCCTCTCGCGCTATGGCCCTTTTCACCTCCACGTTGTTGCCTTCGACGACATGTGGCTTAGCGGCCATTGCTGCGTCGGCCTCCTCCGGCGTGGAGTAGGTGATGAAACCGAAACAGCGGGAACGTCCAAGCTGCTGGTTCATGACCACCACGCAGTCGCTAAGGGTACCATACTGCTCGAAGTACTTGCGGAGGCCTTCATCGGTGGTCTCCACGTTCAATCCCCCAACAAAAAGCTTACAAAGTTTGGATGTCATGGTTCCTCCGGAGGATGGTGCGCAGCTCAGACCGTCCCTCTTCTTCAATGAACCGACGTAAGGGCGGGCCGTTTCACTCACGTCTTCGTAAGACGTTCCTCTCGCTGATTGGTCACCTTAAACCAAATCACCCCCTCACAATCGGCGCGCGATTGGCGTCACTGTCCTGTTCCCTTCAGGTCCCATCGGAAATCTTAATTTCCTGAAAAAGGACCGCGTAAATTTCGACCTTTGTTTTTCTTCGAATACAGTAATAAAGCTACACCCCCGATAAATTAATTTTACTTAAAACACATAAAACGTCAATCCGTGTTTTATTTTGTGTCGCACTTTAGACCCACTGGGACAAAATATATTTTTTCCAAGTGTGTACGTGAACCACGTTCAACCCTAAAATAAACGAAACTCATAAGCCTGAATTTCATGTTTTATTTTTTTAAGTGTATATTAGCTCTGCACGACTGGCTGTTTCCAGCAATTACAGCTGTGAAATGCAGTCATTTCGCTGTTAAACTATTATGATCAGAGAAAATCTGAAGTCGCTACAGCCTTAATAAATTAGGTTAGCTGGAGGCAGGCGCTTCACAATAAATGCAACTTCTCTCAGCGCCCCTCCCCCCTTGTTCCTGGAACACGATTTGAGCCCGACAGAAGCGAATAACTCCCATCACATAGTCTGACACACGAAAAGCATTTTTCCTATCAAATTCAGCTTCTTAGTTTGATCCACCTAATTTCTGATTGAAAAAAAAAGACATTTTGATAGGACACCTTGTGGAGATTGTTCTGCAAGCCATTTAAACTTCAGTCTTAGTGGTCGTGCAGATCTGAAATGTAAATTATGTTAATTTAATTCTATGTGAATTTTCAGTAGTGGTAACTGAGATTGGATATAATTTATTCATTTAACACATACTTATTTATCTTGTTTGGCAAACATGTTGCAAAACACCAACCAAGTGAAAATATAGTTAAAAGGTACCACCAAGGTTTTATTATTATTGCCACTATTGAACTATTATTTCAGCTAGTTATTTAGCCAAAACATGCAGCAATGTGCAGGCAAAACCAAAGTGGAAGGAGGCCAAATAGGAGTGATGGTGATGGGCAGACCTCCACAAGGCACCTTCAAAACTGGCACAGTATGTGCTATGCATATGGAAAAACCATGAAATCCAAGCTGTATTATGGAACACATGGGATGGACAGTAAAGAAGGGCACTCTGCATGTTTTATAAAACACCCCTAAAACAAAAACACATACCAGCTTTACATCTCTGGGCTCCCACCTCTGCAAACCCTCCACCCAACAGATTGAAAACAAGCAATCAGACTGCCCTCAGTGTAAAAAAGCAACATAACAGACATCTTGATATACAAAAATATATTGATTTATTGTGAATTCATAAAAAGAAAGGCCAACATAAGTTTCCTTTTCCTACAGGGTGATCAGAATTCGCCAAGCACCATCATCCTATAAAAAAAAAAGGTAAGAGAACAAAAGCATAATTTACACTCATGACCACATCAAGCAGTTCCTTTTTAAATCAGCACAAAACCTCAGATTGGTTTTCATTTTTTATTATTTAAACCCTAACAAATACTTAAGATTACTGTGGGAGTTTTAGTCAACTCTTGTACTGATTTTCTAGTGCTCATTAAAGCCAAGACATCAAGTATTGTCTTGCATTTCATCATTGAAGCGCTCTTTAGAACATCTTTCAATTAATCTGAGAAAACTGCTTCAAGAACCACAAAGACCAAGATTCACTTTTAGACAGTGGTCAGCAGACTTGAAGACTTAAAGCAGTGCTGGAAAAACCAAATAGCTGAATATAACAGTCCACTCTGTGTAGATGACTAGTTTGGTCTACAGTGTTTGTTTATGCAAATTCTGAGTACATTATGGCTTTTACCTGATACAAAGTAGCATCATCTCCCCTCTGTTCAATTATATATGACTAACGTTCATTGTCAAATGTGGAGGCCGTTTTAACAGCTAGCCCACTTTGCAGCTGTTGAACACTTTAATAATTTAGGTAAGAAGCATTGAGCTGCAGTGGGGTCTGCCACCATCTCCCATGTTTTTATTCCCCACCCCTTCCATTTACTGACCCGTCATGTTTTAATTTTACAACCATCCATTACCACATTAAAACCCGACAAGTGGGTTATTTTAATTACTTATTTGCAAGTTAATAAAATGAAATGTGAAGTCAATTCTGTAGACAAATGTACAGTCAACTGTGTTGTTTACAAAGATCAACTAGATTTTTACTGGTCTTGCAAAACAAGTAAAACCAGAACTACAAGAGCCATTTGAACAGTTTCCCTTTGGCCAAAACCCCACAAAGCATGTGACTGACTTGAAATGCATCTTAAAAAGCTTTACAATTATCAGCTTCAAGTGTTAAATACTTTTGAAACAGCGCAAAAACGCCCATGCTCCCTATGAACATTGGTGGTTTCCAACCAAGATGTTGAATCAAGTAGAAAATTCTCAGACTTGACCTCAATTTTATTTGGGTACTGTTACTCAATGCCAAGTTCTCCTTTCATACGAGGATTTATTCTGGTATTAAACACAAGTTAATAAGTTACCTAGATGAAAGTCAAAACTGTAAAAGCTCAAATACACCAAAAAGAACACACTAACGAGGACTAAGAAAACGCTTTATTTTAGAAGGTGTTCCAGACCAAAAAGGCTAGAAAACCCCGATTTGGATTCAGTACTTATTTTTTTAAAACAAATGCATCAAAGGTGTACACTGGTTAGTCAGTAGCACTGGGGTACTGTATAATCAAAATTCCCTGGAAACCCAGTAACAGTTCACATTAAAAAGCACATTAACACTGCCTTTGACCACACCGGGGGAATCCTCTGAAAACTGACTTCACCTGTGGGGGAAGAAGGCACAACCACTCTTTGGTCCCCACTGTCAGCGTGGAGAGACACACACCCCCATCGTTTCGGGGGTTACCGTCCTCGTGCCCAGGTTACAGAAGCAACCTGGAGGAGATGAGAAAGAAAACAACAGGGTGAGATTCTGCACCGAGCAAAGCTTCTCTGGAGGAGACTCCAATTTACTTGTTCCATCGTTTCATTTAATTATGGAACAATACTTGGACCCCCTTCCAACCCCCATCAAAAAATAATTAACCCACCCACCCCTCCCTTTTATTTATTTTAAGATTAGCTATATAAGACGCTGATAAATTAAATAATGGCACACGTGTGCACCATCTCAAAGATATGCCATACAATGACCAACACAGAGTGAAGACAGGTTGATTTACATACCTAGTTTGCTGGATGTGGATATCCTAAAGAGATATTTCAGACTCCTATCACAATCGACCCCAGGTAATCAACAGGGTCCTGATGTAGCCTACAAACAAACTGCTACGGCTATTTTGGCTGGGATAGCCTACTGGAATAAGAGTAAGAACACCTAAATGTAGGAATAATCAAAGATAAATATCAGAGCCCTCATGTCCACATAAATATATGTATTCAGAAGAAAAATAAAGAGTTATTAGCAATATCTAAAAACCACAATTTTAAAACAACGTCACACCCTACAAAGCCTACATGCATTGGCTGTGGGTAGACAACCATTAACCATTTCACCCACCTGAGTGTAAGGGAATAAACTGTGGGAATGATGCCATGTAACTAAAGAGCAACAAGGTGATGCCACTTATATACCTGTGGATGAACTTGAGGAAGCCTGGTTAAATAAGTAAAATAACTAAGCTAAGTGGTATAACGTTTTATTTAAAATGAACATACATGAGCATAGCAAATTGTTTTTTTTTTAACAGTAGGTTTTGTTCTCCAGACATGAAAGTATACAATATACATTAGATATTGCTACAGGTAAAGGAAACATGAACAATATTTAGACTGAGACTGGCTGAGAGGTTTGGTACAATAAGGGAGAAGGAAACAGTGGTCCTGCATCCCGTCCCGCCTTTGCTGAATGACCCAATAAGTAAATAATACATGTCCGTTATCAATAATGACATAGCTATGAAAAACCATAAACATGCTTTCTCATCCTCATACATTGAAAAGTCACACTAAGTTTTCTGCAGAAAAAAACAAAATCGAAAACGAACTGCTTTAAAATGCAAATATTAAAAATAAATCAGAACTTGTCAGAAAAACAATCCTACATCGAAAAAATCCAAAAACAACGAGTGAACGCAAATAAAAAATAAATTCAACTCTAGACAACTAGACGCCGGAGGCGTGAGTACATAATAAAAAGCGATGTTATTCTTCGTCTTAATGTGTCCTAGTTGAACGGCAACAACCGCTTCTCGTTATAATCAGGTGTTCTGGGAAGTGACCTTCCTACCTGTTTGGGTTTGGAGGTCTTCGTAATGATTTGGGGGAGGGGGTCTTTGTGTCCGTATCTCTGCCATGGTTGGATTTCACGGCAGACGCCCCGTTACTGGCTTTGACTCTTGGCGTCCAATTCCGGGCTGAGGGGAGAGGGCAATTTGTGGGACAATAGTAGGGGTTGCTTTCCATCGTGCAGTCTCATTTAATAGCCGCCGCCGCCGTAGCCCCCCCTTGCGTAGCCGCCACCGCCGCCGCCGCCTCTGGTGTAGGGAGCTGCGCTCCTCTGGCCGCCGAAAGGTGGCCCTTTCATGGGGCCATAGCCAGAAGGATGCTGACCATAGCCGCTGCCAAACTCATTGTAGCCGTTGCCACCGCCATAGCCACTTCCCTGATCTCCATAGCCACCCCCATATGGCCCGCTGCCGTACCCTCCGTAGCCGCCACAGTTGTAGCCTCCGCCATTACCGTAGTTGTAGTTTCCGCCATAATCCCTGCCGCCGTAGCCATTTTGATTTCCTCTCATACCTCTACCGCCTCTGCCTCTCGGTGTCATAGAGGTTCTGTTGGCTGCCTGCATCTCCTGTTTGGTCAGGGCTTTCTTTACCTCAACTTTGTGTCCTTTGACGGTGTGGAATTTCACGACAACCGCCTTATCGGCCGAGTCGTGATCGGTGAAGTACACAAAGCCGAAGCCCCTTTTCTTTCCGGTCTCCTTCTCTGAGATCACTTCGGACTTCTCGACCTGTCCGTACTGGGAGAAGTATTCGGTCAGATGCTGCTCTTCGATGTCGTCTTTCAGACCGCCAACGAAGATTTTCTTCACCTTAGCGAGGGCCTCGGGCTTGTTTGCGTCTTCTCTTGCCACGGCTCGCTTCACTTCGACCGCGTTGCCATCGACGGTGTGCGGCCTAGCCGCCATTGCCGCGTCGGCCTCCTCCGGCGTGGAGTAGGTTACAAAGCCGAAGCAGCGAGATCGCTGGAGCTGCTTGTTCACGACGACAACGCAGTCGGTGAGCGTGCCGTACTGCTCAAAATGCTTGCGTAGGCCATCGTCGTCGGTGTCCACGTTGAGCCCACCGACGAAAAGTTTACAAAGCTGGTCGGTCATTTTTGAAAAATGGCGAATCGATTACACCCGAACACCCTCAACAACGCTCTGAACTCAAGATGGAGGTGGGGGAGAACGCAGCTGTATTTATATCATACGCGCTATGACGACATGCTAGGCTGACTATTAGCGCCGCCTTTTCCGGTCCACTGCTGTTTCTTTTGTAGAAAAAGACTGAAGATACATGAATAACCCATGATTTAAAAAGACTTAACTACAGTGAATAGTTTTGGCCATGCTACCCTTTTCTCACGTATTACCAAACCACATCGATCTCAAAAACTTAGACCTTAAAACATGGAGGTGGGGAACCTTGTTATGTATTGCGTATCTCCTCCTCATTATTTTAAAGAGTGCGAGGCTATGACCCAATAAATCGGATGAACAAAAAAAGACTTATTCTCTTTTCTATCTCTCCGAAATATGGCATTGGAAGATTTGCTAATGAAATTACAATTTTTATATTTGGTTTTATCTACGGCAGAGGATTAGGGCCACTGGGGGGAAAAAAAGTGGGCACGTCTTTTCCCCCTTTTCCAGAATCCTGAGATTGAAGTCAGAATTCTGACTTTTTTCTCAGAATTCTGGAAAAGAAGAAGAAGAAAAAAGACGTGCTCACTTTTCCCCAGCAGCCCTAATCCTCTTCCGTATTTATCAAGGTAAGAAAGGCTGTAGAAACTGAATAGGCTCTCAACTAGTGTGTGAAATTGTAGCAGACATTATTTTTCACTAATTTACACGTCAAACAGAAAATGAGAAAAATACTGGATTAATCTGGAGAAGAAAACCTTGTCAGTGGCTGATGTGTTTTCTGCAGAAGTTGCAGGTTTCGGTTGTAACAGATAAGCCAATCATCCTGCCTATTTTCCCCTTATCTTTCCTGCCACGATCTCCATGTAAGTGATCAAACACAAAGAAAAGGCCAATTCCCCTCGAATCCCGACGTCCTCGGGCTATGGCGATGTAGTTTCAGGTGAAAGACACGGCACTTGATTTAATTACCTTGTGCAGAGAATAACCACACCTACCAACAGCTTATGGTAATGCAGATTTCAGAGCAGACAAGAGCAAAGCAGACGGCAAACAAAGAAACACCAAAATCAAAGTTTACTGAAACCTTTATGAGGCATATTGCTCATGAAACAATCCCCATTTCTACTCTACCAACACAAACACACAGGACAGTCTGTGTCTGCACAAATACAGCTCCAAACTATAGATGGACACAAACGAGGTGACTCGTGGTTTGCTGATAAAACAACAGATGGAAGAAAGGACCGACCACAAAATTGATTATGTTAACCTGCATTTTTTGAGTATTCTGGGTGTTCAGGCTTGATTTTCAGAGTGACCTTTAGGTCCTTCTCCATATTATTTTATATCCCAGTCCTTCTATAGTACGTTTGAAAGCCATAAAGGTTGAATGTGACTCCTCTCCTCCTCCTGTCTTTGTAAGGAAAGACAAAGTCTTTACCTTCAGTAAAGGCATGTGAATGTATATTAAATGAAATGGTCTTAAAGCCTGTAATAATGATGCTGCAAGCAGCTTCAACATAGAGTACAAGACTGGTAACGCAGCGCCATTGTCCTTCTCTTTATTATCGAGGCTTCACTGGGAAAATAGTTATGAAATTCAGACTGTAGGCAACGTCCAGTTGACTAAAAATCACCCAGAATGTCTTTTTTTAAAGGCAAAATTTCAAACAAACTGAAATAAACACCAAACCTGTCACACCAAAAATGGGAAGACTGTTTTTGTGTTTTTCATTTGGAAGCTAAAAACATCAGAGATGGTTTTCTTGTCTGAAAACTTAGTACATTTCTTTACGGGAGCAAGTACCGCTTAATTTATATTACTGTCTGTGAAACTACGAGCTTCTCCAGATATGAGAAATTATAAGCAAAAACCGCTTGACTTGAGGATATTGAAGGCTACATCAGGTTTTAAACACCCGAGAAAACACTCAAATTTACACAGCAATCTGTGCAGATGGCAAATATTTTGTTTTTTTAAAATGACATTTCTCTAAAACTCCTGAATTTATAAATGAAGATCAAGTCCTACCTAATATTTACATTAAAACTGAAGCCTTTTGTAGCCCAAAACATCCTCCAGTTTCAATCGTGAGGGAGATAAATGTAATTAATCCAGTTAGGTAGTTTAAAGGAAGCATTTAAAAATATTCCCTAACAACCAACATAAACATGGCTATAAGACAAACGATGCAGACAGCATGCATCACAGGAGGAGATGTGACTAGGAAGCCATGTCTGTTCACAAAAAAGGCTCAAATCTTGTGTTAATGGTTAAAGCAGCGACTTAACACATTTCTGCCACATTATTTCAGTAACAAACAACATTTGTAAAAGGAAAAAAGTCAAAAGTAACCTCAACAGGATTTTATTTGTTGTAGTAAAATCAAACATCTATCTAGCAGTTTTTCCACTCTTCAGTCTTTTTCTCTACTCTCTAATCTTCAGTGTGAAGGCCTGTAAGATAATGACAATGCTGATAGTCCATGTGCTTGAATGGATCAGATTAAACAACTTCTAGCCACATCTAAAACAGAGTCTTAAAGGAGAGGAGCCCAGTTTGTCAGATAAAATGGAGGGGGCGGGGGGGCACGGGGTCTGGATGGGCTAACTTGAGCTGATCATGTAGAGGAACTGGATGGGTTGGGGTGGTGGAGTCTCCACGGACATGTGGGTTTTGTCTGTGGGAGGAAGGGCACTGGATCACAGCTCCACAGGTGGCTCTGAGCAGGCCGGGTCACAGGTGATGGGCGACGGGCCGTATCTGATGTGGTTGATACTCAGAAGCGTCATCCGAGCAATCACATGATGTACACTTTCTCCGCCTGAGAGAAGTTGAAGACTTCTTTGGTTCTGGGACACACCACTTTGTCATCTTGGCGAATGGACAGAAGAGACTGGAAGAGATAATAATGAAATATCAAGGAGTGTTTTATGAAACTTTATCATCCTTTAAGTCTGCATTTTAAATTGCTTCAACATGGATGGAAGCACCTTTATACAGTCCCAGCTGGCATCATGCAGTTTACTCACATTGTAGCCGTAAACATATCCATTAGGCAGCATCATGGGAGGGTTGTTTTCATTCATGACCTCTCCAGAGATTTTACAGACTAGTCTGGAATTGGCGCAGTGGGCCATGGGTAGAGGCTGAGCCAACTTGTTAAGAGATTTACTGCACACTGGGCAGTCTGGGTTTTTAGAGGTGCCATCCTCCTTGTAGCACTGACTGGTTTGGAAATGGGAGTTAAGGATTAATGCAGATTAGGGAATAACACACAGAATAGACCCCCCTTAGAACAAAAAGCACTATCCATCTTCATATAGCTTAAGAAGTTGAAATGACAGGGTTAAGAGTAACCACACACTGGAAGGATACGGTGTCTTGATGGCAGACAGACCAGCCTGCAGGGTGATGGTGAAGACAGAGTTGTTTCCCAGCTGATGCAGTCTGTAATTGTCATATCGGAACTGCTGGATCAGCATCTTCCAGCGGGCTGGATCCAACAGATCCTGATAGATCAGAAAGAAAAAGAGAAAATAAAAGGAAGATTTTTTTTACAACTGCATTTCTGAAAAATTAATAAATAAATAATCAAGTTTAATTTGGCACAGGGGGCTTTTATAATTTGTACAATATAAAAAAAAGTCTGAATTAAACAAAAAGGTCTACTTTTGTGTATAAAAGGCATACATTTGTCTTTGGTCTGCGCAGCTTAAAACACAACTGAAGCTACACCCTGTCTGGTTAGTAATGTTGGGACACCACAGGGTGCACCTTAGGCTTCACGTATAAAACGAAATTTATGGTCGAGCAGAGGTTTGTTGTCCTCTCCATTCCAGGAGAGCAAAGTTATAACATACAAAGAGCTGAAATTTCAATGTTTAAAACAATGAAATTTGTGTTGCATTTTTTGTGGCTCAACAAATTGATTCACAAGGCTGGACCATCACTGACCATATTCTGGGGGGGCACAAGATTCCACACATATTCATCACATTTATCTTCTTGGAGCAGTTTCTAAGCTACTTTTATAGCAACAACAACAATAACAATAATAGCAACACTATGACACATTTTTACTTCCTCCAGAGTCTATTACAGTAATGCTCTCTTTTCTGGACCACCTAAAAAAAAGAAGCCCCACTGAAAGTCTTAGATTCTGACTTGGTCTTTAATCAGCGATGTTGATTTCAAGTGAATTGTGATTAACGGTTTTTCCAAGAACAGCTGAGACTGTAATCCTATCAGTAATGTAACTGCGTTGTCTAAATTAATTACAGTTTAATCCTTTCTAATTACCCCTGGCAGTATTTTTATTGAGCATGATTATATTTATGATTACTTTTATTATGATCATAAGTAATCATGACACTGAGGAAAAACACTATGATAATAATGAAAGCTACTAAGCTCTCCCGTTAATAGCATACTGGCAGGGAAGAGAGGCTGTTTCTGTAACTCTGGCACAAGCAGCTGGCACAAACACTACACTGGCTTGCCTAAAAGCGAAAGAAAAAAAGCCTTGGTGACAGTGTGCCATAGTACAATTCAGAGGATGTTGGAGTGGAAAATTAAAAACAGCAGTGCCACTGAAAGCCTGTACAAAAAGGGAATTGAGCTTTTTGTAAAAGACAATGGAGGCCCTCTGGTGGCTGGTCTGTGTCTATAGCGCTTTCTCTTTACTTCAAACACACAAGAAGTCAGGCTGGTTTGGTCACAGCTCTGCCCAAAGTGGTACCAATATTTCCACGAGGACAGACCCATGGAGTTTAAAGTTTTTCTCAAAATTTTCCCAAGTGTTTTTCTTTCTTCTTAACACAGAGCAAGAGATTTTCAGCATTTCTAAACATATCAGTTTTCTGAGAAAGCATAAATTATCTATATTTGAACACAGAAACAAAACAAAAATGACCAGGTCAGAATTATCAGCCTGACTGAAAATCTGAGAAATCTTTATTGAGCCAAAGCACAAACTATTGCTGTGTAATGACTTCTGATCAAATCAAATGATATCCTTGTAGACATTCACACTG